ATGTAAAATTTAATAAATTAGTTCTATTTGTTAGTGTGGTCATGTGCCACAAACAAAAAGAAAAATAACTACTTAACCCATTAGCTACAGTATCATGTTGTTTGTTGTTGTTGATTGCTGTCGAGTCAAGCATGATTCATAGCGACCCTATGAACAAAGGATCTGAAGTCTTTGTATAACTATTGTCATTTACCAAAGTTTATAGAGTTTCCAGACACATGTTGTTTAAGAAGTGGATGCCACTCCTGCTTACAAATAGTTGCAATTATTCATTCTAAATTCTACACAGTACATGAACTAAACCAAATCTACTGCTACTCAGTGAATTTTGACTCACGAAGAACCTCCACTGGGTTTTTGAGGCTGTAAATCTTACCAGCAGTCGACAACTCTTTTTTCCTATGGAGCAATGGGAGGAATTGAACTTCCAGCTTTCCAGTTAGTAAGATGTTCATTATTCACTAAAACACCAGCAGAGCGGTGCCTATATATTCTACAGATAGTCTAAATACTCTAAACTTTTAATGGTTATTTCTTCTTTCCATACTTTTTTTAGAAAATTATCCTGGCTATCTATAAAACAAGACTTGAAACTGGTTTAGTCACAGGCCAATGAAAATCAGAACAGGTTTTCATTTTTTTAAATTTAAGTGAAGTGGAACAATAACCAGAATGGGGGAAAGTGCAAGTTGACGCCCTAGATGGGAGATTCAAAAGAAGATTAGTGAGTCCCTGTAGGAACTTGACTTGGGAAAATGGCCTGCTGCCAGGACTGTGAAGAATACATTCAAAACATTGCACTTTGTTGCCATTACTGAGCAGAGCACCCTCCGCTGTTTCCAACTTTGCATATCAAGATATTTGGTTGCTATGCAATATAAAGTCTGCTTTTGTTTTTTAATGCTAAGATTAGATTCCTTTTCTAGGTAGTAGCATGGAACAAGTATAATCTTGCGGTGTTGGTAGTGTTGGTGGTGTACTGTCAAGTTGAAACTGACCCATGGCTGACCCTTCAGCAGGTTTTCAGAGACAATCACACATGAGGAGATTGTTCAATCTTCTCCTGCGGAACAGGTGGTGGATTTGAACCCTGTGCCTTCAGGATTGCAGTGCAGCTTCTTGCCACTGTTCTCTATAGTTGATTGATGTCTTTTTGTTTTCACCCCCATAAAGGGTGAGGATAAGTATGTTTCACTTAATTTGTTTCTCTTTTGGTAATAGGTGCTGTGGTGTTAAGGGTTTGTTGTTCAAATGGCTTTCCTAGACACTGAGTTTGACTTTGCCATGTGAATGGGTGAATGTATGCTAGTAGGGTATGTTATCCACAAGGGGACTGACTAGTCTCCTCACTAAATATAGAAGATTCAGTGACAGATTGGAGAATCTCACCGTTAACAGAGAACAAGCAAGTGAATGCAGTGCACCACTTTGGGGCCAGAGATCCTTGCTGCCAGCTAGACCTACAGAAGATCAGTAGCAACCACAGCAGAGAACCAGAGATCAGATTTGAGATGGAACTGATCTTGGGACTGTTAGCCACTGGAACCAGAGCTAAGAGCTTTTGCCTACATTTATTGGAAGACCTGGATAGGGGAGGAGGAGTCATCAGTTCTGGTGTCTTTGTGATAAGGAATTGGACTGCCTATGCAAAGATACACTGTACAAATCCACCACATTCTCCCCAGGAGAAGCATGGACAATCTCCTCATGAAATTTACTGCCTCTGAAAACCTCCCAGAGGGTCAGCTATGGGTCAGTTCCAGCACACTGTACACAACAATAAGGGCTTTGTAACACTTGCCTCAAGCCATGGGGCTGAAGGCTCCGGTGTCTCTGAGCACATTTTAGCAGCTGTCCTAACTCAGTGATTGCATCTGCTACTAACGTGAATGACTGCCTCTTGACTCCCCTACTCTGGTTCTGTGTGATGTGTGAGCTATCATAATGGATTTCACATTTCATTGGATGAATAGAAAGAGGTGCACAAGCTTGAGGGGCATGTCTGAGAATTGATTTTGGGTTTGGATACTGTTGATGAGGATAATTTGTTGTGGAGTTGGTTGGCCAAGGTCAGATAGGGCTGTCCCCACGTGGACTTTGCTCTTTTTATACGTGTATAATAGTGTTTAATATATGTCTGTTGAAAATAATAGTAATATTTAATTACATAAAATGTAATTTCATATTTCCTACATATTTCAATCCTGTACATAAAAGAAAGAGAATGGTAGAAATAAAATCTAAACTGAAGATAAACAGAATAAGTGTTGCAACTTTTATTCCAGTGGCACATTGATAATTGTCTCCTAAGTATAAATTACGAAGTTGTAAGAGAGATCAATAAACTAATAATTGGGTTTGGGATGCAGGTGAATTAAGAAGATTCTCTTACTTTCAAATTCTTTTTTAATTGTAACTATGTTACTAAGCTATTACTAGAAGAAATGGTTTAGAATTTAGAACTTCTATGCATAAGTTTTCCAACTATTTCTTACTTATTTTTAATTATAATTTGCATCCAAGTTTCCAGAGCATATTCTTTCAGTCACTCATGAACAAAATTTTTCCATAACATTCGTTTAGTACATGCAATGTATGATCTTTCTTTTTTTTGTTTGTTTGTTTTGTTTGTTTAATCTGTATTTTATTAGCTACATTAGAAGCGTCACACAGTAATGGTAAGCTAATTGCACTAGTTCGATAACTGAGGTTCCCCCCTTCAAAAGAGGCCATGATGGTTTTTAAAAATTTTAACTTCTCTTTTTTACTTCTCTGAAGTAGAAGTTAAAATGAATGCAGTTTGTAATTGTTTCTTTATGGGTATTTCTCGTCCCAGATAATATATTCTTGTAAAAAGGAGGGCTAGAATTTTCCTGAATAAGTCACCATGTAAGCTAGGGAAGACACTGTTGAGGTTTGTTGTATTGTTTTGTTTGGTGTGTTTTTTGGATTTTTTGGGATTTTTTTTTAGAAGAATCTTTCTAAAAACATCTCTCTTTCTACTTGCAAGAAACTCCTTAAGCTGTAAAATACAAATTCCACTGTTTTTTAGTGTATGATCTTTCATAATGTCTTTTCTTCCAGTCATCTTAATTGTTAATTATTATTTTTTTTATTTACCCTCCCTAGTAACTACTAGATGATTCCTTCTATATGTGACCTCTTGTGTAGCTTTTTAGAAATACTGATCATATACAGTATTTGTTCTTTTGTGACTGATTTATTACTTAAATCTGTTGGATATTGGGTAGAGACTTGTGCTTTCCACCCATAGGTGAGCAGTTCAAATCTACCAGCTGCTCCACAAGAGAAAAATGGTGATTTCCTCCCATCAGAGGTGATTTACATTCTCTGAAAACACACTGAAAGACCAGTTTTTATTTTTTTCCCTAACTCAACAGCAATGCACAACAAAAAAACAACAGCAATATTTTTTTAAATCACTTAAATAATACTTTTAGTGACTTAACAGCATAGAACACAACATTGAGTACTGAAGAGCAACGATGTCAGGCCAGAGAGTAAGGTGTGTCTGATCTGGGCTACAGTCTTTGCAGTTAGTTGAGTGGTATGCATCGGAGAGCTGGACAGTGACTAGGGATTGTAGAAAGAGAATTGATGGTTTTGAGCTGTTGTGCTGGAGAAGTGTGTTGAATAATTCATGGACTTCTAGGAGAACAAACAGGGTTGTCCTGGAGAAGGTGAAGCCAGAACTTGGAGTCAAGGATTCAAAGGCTTCGTCTGACATACTTTGGACATGTTGCAAGGAGGGACCAGTCCTTGGAGAGGGACATGATGTTTGGGAGAGTGAAGTGTCAGCACAGGAGAGTAAGACCCTCGATGAGATGGATTGATTCAGTGACTGGGGTAATGGGAGTAGGTGTGTCAGAGACAATGAGTTTAGCACAGGATAGATTAGGGTTTAGGGCTCTTGTACGTAGGGTCACTATGAGTCACAAGTGACTTGACAGCACATAACAACAACATTATTGATTATAAATGAAGTCAGTTTAAAGCCCTGATATACATTTACTGTTATTAATCATGGTACATATTTTTCTTTGTTATATTTTAATTGTTAATGGCTTAAATAGAAACCTTTGTTCTATTGCTCTTCAACTCAGTGGGTTGTTTTACACACGAAAGAGGGAAAATTCAAAGGCAAGTACACTTAGAAAACAGAATAATGTATATTTTCTTCTTGGTGATTTTTTATTTACATGCATGTATTAAAGTAATTGTGAACTCCTGATGAAAAAAGACAATTACAACTTTGTTCTGTTTCGTAAATTCATATGACCATGCGTCATAATGAAGCATCTATTAATATCTTGAAGAACGAGGATTTTTTTTTATTTCTCAGTTTGTAAGTTGGAACAATACTATGATGTTGTGAAGAAGTAATCAGAGTAACAAAGTACAATGTCCATAAATTATTGAAAGGGAAACTGATTTACTCTGTAAATTTTCATCTAATGTCAATAATAGAAAACTAAAGGAAAATATTGTTTAAATTACTTTTAATACTGATTTAGTGAAGTTTTATTGGATAATTGTTTTGTTAGTTTTGTTTATTCTCCATTTAATAAAATATTAGACTATCCCTGCTTGAAGACATTTAAAAATTACAGAACACCCCTTGCATAATGTTGTGCTGAAAACCAACTGAAAATTGACCTGCTTCGTTTCTGACCTGGGCAGATTCTCCCCTCCTTAGGCAACCTGGTGGTCCCCTGCTTCTGGGAGGTCACCATACTGACCTCCTTGAAATAGTGGTTATCAAAACTAAATGAGATATTTTTCATCAGTGAAAGATATACAAAGCTATATAACAAAAATACATAAATACTAGCTCTGTCTACATGGATCTTTGTGGAAAATATTATATAAAGCATATTATGAAGAACTGATTATTTTTAAAAGATGTGAAAATGTTTTGGGGTTTTGTGTGTATTTTTGTCTTTAATCAATAAAGCACTTTTTCTCTTTTTTTTTAATAGAGCAATGAAGTTGTCTACTACAATGCAAAGGATGATCTCGATGTGAGTATTATAGATTTCCTATTAAACTCCAGGATGAGCTATGATGAAATTTGGCTAGAATTATGTGACATAAGAAGAATTCGTGAGAACAAAATAAAAATGATGATTAATTTTTCTCCTGATGCTATTGTTTTCTAAAATATAATAGTATTGATGATTGCTTTAAGACCAACGTGAGGCATTTTTTTGGACCTGAATTACCCACTTACAAACATCCCGTGCAGTTCTCATTCTGCTGCTTCTGCCTAACAGAGCTACTTTGACATTAGTAATGTTGAAGGCAGACGTTAGATCTCATCCATCTCTTTATCCTGGCATCACATGTATGTATAAGCCAGGGAAAATCATTTATTTAAAATATGATGTGTCTGGCTGGTGGCCTAATGGTACAAAATGAACCACAATTCTACAGGCACATGCTTTGAATCCACCAATTGTTCTGCAGTCTCCTCCCACGAGATCTACTTCCTCTGAAAATTCACTGGAGGTTCAGCTATGGGTCAGTTCTGACTTGATGACACACAAAAACCCCTGAAAACTGCCACAAAGAAGAAAGGAAATTTGTTTAAGTGGATGATTTTCATATTGTATAAAGCTATCCTTAGAGGTACAGAGAGTAGGAGTTTTACGTTTCTTGCAAGTCATTTTATTAATTCTTTATTTTGCACTTCACCTCAGCAACATATAGTAACATGCAATTAATGTTCACTCCCTATTGCCTGTGCAATCTTTGAAACATAGTAGTTGCTCAACCTGATTTTTTTAGATGAATGACTCTAGTGAGTAATTAAAATTAGTTCATCACACGTTTCACCATGTATCATTTCCAATATTACTAAATTTGGATAGATACTGGAGGAATAATTCATCACAGTAAAAACTACAAAAGCAAGAACCAGAAGAGACACAAACTTGTCAGAGAAGGAAAACTCAAATATGCTTCATGAATATAGAGTAAGGTGCTCTGCTAGCCTAGAGGCAAGAAGGTATGCTGCAATCCCTAAGGCATATGGTTCGAGGCCACCATTTGCTTCATGGGACAAGGATGGGCAGTCTCCTCCTGTGCAATTAACTGCTTCTGAACATATGCTGGAGGGTTTGCTATGGGTTGGTTCTGACTCTACGGCATGCAACAACAAAATATAGAGTAATAAAAAATAGTAAGATAGCTTCATTCAAAGGCAGAAAACTTGGGAAATCCAAAAAAAGTAAAGCAATCCAATAAGCTCTGATTCTCACAGATTTCACGTAGTTGGATAGCATGGAAACATTTGCAAAATATAAGGTGCATTGTTACCTTAGTGCTTTTAAAATACAAATTAATTATTTTATCATTACCTTTTGCTTGAAGGAGAAATGTTACCTAAAGATACACACTTATTCACTAATTAAAAATATTCTTTCAATATCTTCTGTATTCTAGTTAATAAATGAACAGTGCAAACCAAATTAATATTTATCTCCCCAAATTTTGATGCATATCTGGTCCTGTCCTATTTTGTAGACTATCCCTCAGGAAATTAACAATTACACAAAATGCAAATACACAAAACCAAGTAGGGTTTAAGGTGGAGTAAAGCAATAATAAAGAAATTACTTTAAATATCACAGTTCCGAAATGATGCTAGACATACTTATTAAAGACAAACTGCCAACTCACCAAAATGTTTTAATAGTTTATTGGTTAATATCATCATCCATTATCATTTCTAAAGGATACTGCTGAGTCTTACAATGCAGATTACTATTCAAAATCACGGGTTATTGCAAAAATACTTGACAAATATTGTTCTACCTTCCCAGTGCTTGAAAAATGATGACATATTAAATAATTAATTTGTAAAACTATATCTAAACTTTTATATGTAAGTGAAAATTTTAATTTGGTCTAGTTCAGTCCTTTAATCATTATTTCCTAAAGATAATGATACTAATAGTACAGATTAATGGAAGTTTTTGCCTTAAACTTATTTAAAAGGTTCTATTTTTGGCATGTCAAGGAATTTTAATACTTTTCCAAATTGCTTATTAAATTAGATTGTCATTTTTATTTCATGTAGTAAATTATCAGTATTCTTTCAGAAGTCTATAACAATTGTGCTAAAGAGTGTAAATATGTATTTTGCTATATAACAACACAAGAGTAAGGACCATAGTTCAACATGGGTGTCTATGTTCATTACCAATGAAAAATACATACAGCATGTGGATTTATAACAATTGAGTGGTCTATCATATATACTACTGTAAAATTGCCTATGCAAATATTTATTCACATATGAAAAGGAGGCTTTTGTAAGGTCTCTTTTATAGAATAAGGTCCACTTCCTGTCAATTTGCCCTACTGGGAAGGCTCACATGTCACTGTGAGCTATTAGCGATTAGCTGTTAATAGCACTGTGATGCTCTTAGCTAGGTTACCAGTATTTCAAATGCAAACAGGGTTACCTTGGTGAGGTTTCAGCAGTGCTTCCAGATTAAGATAGACTAGGAAAAAGGACCTGGATGGCTACTGACTAAAAAAACACCCCAATATTTGATATTTTAATCCTCCTGAGTAGCAGTGAGTCTGGTATAATGCTTTAAGATTAGCCCTTCAAGTAAGAAGGTACTCAGAATACTGTCTTCTCCAATTGGAACCCTCTTAAAAGGGTTTAAAGGCATTAACCTTCTTGAGACTTTTATTTTCTCATGGGGCACAACTCAAAGATGAGAAGAAATAGAAAGTTCCATTGATAATAGGACATGGAATGTGTGAAATATGTATCTAGGAAAATTGAAAGTTGTCAAAACTGAAATGGAATGCCTGGAGTTTGACATTTTGTACAGTTGTAGGTCGGAATACACTGACACTGGCCATTTTATGTCAATTGTTTAATCTTCTATGCTGAAAATGAAAAAGGAAAATGGAATGGTGTTACATTTGCTGTAAGAAAGAATATTTCAGAATTTATCCTGAAGTACAAGACTATCAGTGTTGAAAACAAACAAATGACAAATCCATAGTTGGACTAATGGTCTTGAGGAAAACCATGTGAGAGATCATATGATAAAAATCTACAAAGATTTGACTTATCACTGTAAATATATTTTTCTACACAACAAAATGGTCATTATACTCATATTGCAATTTATGGTGTACATGTAGAATTTTGAAGCTCTGTCGGACATACTTTGGGCATGTTATAGGGACAGACCAGTCCTTGGAGAGGGACGTCATGCTTGGGAGGGTGGAGGATCAGCTCAGGAGAGGAAGAGCCTTGATGAGATAGATTGACTCAGTAACTGGGATAATGGGCGTAGTTGTGTCAGAAATAATGAGCTTGGCGCAAGCTAGAGCAGGGTTCAGGGCTATTGTACACAGGGTCTCCATGAGTCACAAGTGACTCTGCAGCACATACCAACAATGTGTGGAATTCACCACGCAAGAAGCAAATATACTGTATCTTGAGAAGAGACAATGAAAGTAAATAGTATTAGGTGCTCTAATATTAGCACAAGGTGATCGAGAACTTACTCATTGCTGAGTCTTCAGCAGATTTTCAGAGGCAGGAAGTCACATAGGAAGAGATAGTTCATATTTCTTCTGAGTAACAGTTGGCAGATTTGAACTGCCAGAGAAGCACTTCTTTTGTGTAAGAAGCACAGCTGCCTCCAGAGTACGCCACCAGAGCTGCCAACTCTTTTATCCTAAAGCCTATAATAATTAACTCATTTCCATCAAGTTGGAACTGACTCAGAGTTCCCCTAGATGGATCAGAGGGTCATAGTAAATATATGGAATTATAGGAACCACTAACTTTTATTGTCACAAACATCAAATAAATACTGCTTTTCTTTGGTAACTAAGACAGTTTATAAAAGTGCTAGAGATTTTTCCAAGGGACTTGGTATTTAAATAACAGATCTTGGTTCTTGAAATCATTAGAACAGCTGTGCTAAGGTTTCTTCCCTTGGGTTTCTTCCTCGAGGACAGCTATTATGCTTCCTTGTTAACTGATACAGCTCTAATAGGGCCAGCATATTGAAATCATCAGTGTAGCTTTTTCAGTAAATCAATTAAAAGTGAAAACTTCGTTTTACACAGAGATGAAATAGCGAAATAACCAAGCCAATCTTCTAATCCAGAGTCATCAACTTTAGATTGCAGGCATGCCCCTTCCGACTGCTCTGTTCTTACTGCTTTGTCTCATTTGCAAAGAACTCTTTTTACCACTCGCAACCAAAGCCTCACCCCAGACCTGGAATAAGTGGGAGTGTTATCTCTGGGACTGTATAGAAATACATGCCCTGAAGGAAATACTTGTTTCTACTGAATGCTTTATATGATTCTATGCTCTCTAGTTAGAGATCTGACAGAAACAAAGACAAATACAAAAGAAAAACATGTATAGTCTGAGTGTTCCCTAATCATGGCATCAAGTAGATTTTTAAGACTAATAATATAAAGTTTAGTTAATAGGAAAACAATAAAACTTCAGTTGTAATATAGTAGAAAACATAATGGTGGAGAATCAGAGGAAAATTTTCTTTCAAAATAATATCAATTCAAATGTTTTATGTAAAATACATGTTTCATATTCCCAACAAAAGAGTATTTGATCCATTAAATATTGATGGAAATAAATTTAAATTATCAAAATTAAAAATGTATAAGCAAACTGAAATTTCCACGGGAAAAAATAACATAAGTGACGGTGTATATTGTCCATAAGTGATGCTCAGAGACTATTTGAGAAACATTTACAGATGCCACAAACCATTATGGGAGAGAAAGGTAACTTGGATGGAGGGGAAAGCACATTGGTATAACTCAAGAGTCATTTATTTCTAAAGTTTCAGAGTTTATGGACTAAACCTATTAATCATAGATGCAAAAGAGTAAGTGTTCAGATCACCAAGTAAATCTATATATAATTGGATATTTGGAACGCCTGTAGTGTTTTAGGTATGATGTTTTAAAGTCAAGAACATTTATCCTGGAAATCCTACACAAGGGC